ACATTGTTCGGACTATCATACTCATCTTTGTTGCCACATTTATCACAACGTTTCGGTCGTTGTACACTCCAGCCTTCTTCAGCTGGTTGGAATGTCGAACTCTTTATTTCGCTCGCTGAGGTAGACTGTTCTGGTTCCACGTGCCATGTCTAATGGATGTCAGTTGTCAGTTATCTCCTGTTAACTCCTCTCTCCAAGTTGTCCACTGCCTTAACTCGGTATTGAATTCACACTCTTTGGGTCCTGTCACTGGATCTAAATAACGCCTTTATTTACTGTGCCATGTGTCCTTGAGGAATTTACTAAAATTTACATCAGAATTCGGACATATTCTTTAAAATTTATTCAAAAAGGCATTCATTGTTATTTTTGGCCTTACATCTGCATTCTAGCAAAAATTTAATAACAAAACAAACATTCATTGATTTAAAATTGATAAATTATTGGGGTGAATTAATATTTGCGATAAGTAACTTTCCATTATTTTGGGTGAATTGAGAGAAAAGATCCCATATAACGATTGTTCTTGTGCAAAATGAAAACATATTGAAGCGGTTAAAATGTCAGTTTTTGCTCAGTGCATTTATCCTCTTTACGAACTTCAGTTGTTAAAAAATTTGAAATTTTCATCATGCTATACTTATTGAGATTTCATTTATTTAATGTCCGGTATTCGATTGCCATCTGTCATAACAAGGATGTAACTTAAAAAAAAAAAGAAAAAAAAAAAAACATTTTCCCTCCATACAAGTTTCAAAAGTGACTCAAAATACAAGGTTACTATAAGAAGTTGTTATATGGACGTAACATAAGAGAGTAAAAAGTGCAGTGTTCGTAACAAAACTAAAGGTTAATCCTTACATTTGAAGTGGTTAAGATTTTAGCGATCGGAGAAAACATCCACTCGGGAGTCTGTTTAACAATGTAGCGGTTCTTGAGAAGAAGTTGTCCGAATGGAATTTCCTTATTACTAATGGAAAATGAAGGGAGTGGAGATAATTCGTCACCGTGTACGTGACATTGTGGTTCCTTGCTGTGAAGGTCTGGACAGGTTAAACTAATGAATCAGTTGTTAGCAGGGTTGTGAATTTTAACGAATCGAAAACAAAACTGCTTTTCTGTAATCATCTAAGCGACCCCTGTCTACCTGCCCTCCGGATAGCTGAGGTTAACCTCCAGGAGAGAGACTCATTGAAACTTCCCGGGCGAACATTATCAGATGACATGAAGCGGAAAGACTATATTGAATCCATTGCTAGGTCAGCTGCGAAGAAAGTCGGTTCACTGTGTCGTGCAAGTTTTTTTCTCTCCAAAATATATCTTACATGCCTATAAGTCTATAATTCGTTCATGCTTGTAGGATTGCTGCCACATATGGCACTGTGCTTCTGCTATATATTAGGTTGGTGCAAAAATAATGACGGTTTCTCACATAGTTACATATGTGTGAAACCGTCATTATTTTTGCACCAACATAATATTTACAGATTCTTGATAAAATCTAAAGACGAATCAGCAATATTATTAGTCCTGATCTGGCGTGTCAGCTTCAGCCACTTTTCTATTAGTGTAAAGTTGCTACTCTGTGTTTTTTTTTTACTATAAATACTTCCATGGCAATTATTCGGATAAGTAATTTGTTAGGGTACCTAGACTTTATGAATTAAAGAGTAGTACTAGATTAGCAACGGGGTCTCATTAATTTACAGTTGAATTGGCGAGATGTAACTGTAATATCTATGTTAGCAGTTTCTGCTAACATAGATATTACAGTTACATCTCGCCAATTCAACTCGCAATTCTCGCTTGTGGAACTCTCTTCTGAATTCTTGCTTTACAGCCAGGTTTGATCTTTAAAAATGTAAATGCAATGTCAATCGTTATCTACTGTCTTCCTGATTACTCTTCTATTGTTTTTGCTGCCTAATGTATCTCTTTTTTTCTCATTCTTTCACTTAGTAAGCCTTTGTGTCTTCGTGGTTTCACTGGCTTACTTAGGGTAAATTTGATTAAAAAAAACAAACTGTTGGAGCGTTAAATTTGGAAGAGTATAATTTTTTAAAATCATTTATCTACAAGCAATCTATAATGCCACTAGGATGCAAAGGATTACTGTGGGTGAAGGAGACTAAGAAAACTTTATTTGGAATAAAAGACAATAAAAGAAAAGATATCCAGGAAAGCAGAAGATTGTGATTAATGTTGCATTTAAATTCTTGAAGGTCGTAGGTGGTAGCTGTTATAGTAGAACACACCTCTTCTATAGTTAATAGACTCTCCCGTAGGAGTTGCTGAGTGGGACGGTCAGTCAGTCGACTGGCTGATCGGTTGAACTCTCTGCCTTTGGGCGGGGAGGAACCCGAAGGAGGCTACGCGGAAAGGCGGATTCTCGTTCGGGGAGGTAAACCGACGCTGAACCCGTTTATACGGGTTCAATGGGCATATTTTTGGCCGAGCCCACGGGCTCGGAGATCCCACGGGCTCGGAGATCCCACGGGCTCGGAGATCACACGTTAAAAAGGCCTTGTGCCACATGACACCCTCGTGGGTGGGGTGACTAAATATCGACGGTCAGTCAGTCGGTTGAACTCTGCCTTTGGGCGGGGAGGGACCCGAAGGAGGCTACGCGGAAGGGCGGATTCTCTTTCGGGGAGGTAAACAGACTAGTTTATACGGGTTCAATGGGCATATTTTTGGCCGATCCCACGGGCTCGGAGATCCCACGTTAAACCGGCCCTCGTGGGGTGGGGTGAATAAATATCAACTGTCAGTCAGTCAATGCCGGACGACCGTTATTCGGATACTAAAGTATCAGCGACTACAACTAGATTCCTCTGCGTTATACTTATTATATGAAGTTCCTAACATTTTGTACGTCGAACCTATTTTAGGATCGACAGTACGAATACAAGCCTCCATTGTGAAATCACTCTACAACAGTAGCAAAGCAAGACACTGGAAGAGAGGCGCACAGGTGAGAAGTGCGAGAAACATATCTAATAGAATAGAACTAACGCTTCGTTATTTCAACAGTAAAACGATATGATCTATTTGCCAAAGTAGTATTACGTTGGAATTTATGCAGCTGAGTTACAAACAAGAGGGCTGATTAGACCAACTGCCTTGAAAATATTTATAGAAAAGACAAAGGGAAGACTTGTCGCGGCAGCGGAAAAGTGACTCAAGTCGATATACCAGGTCAGGACCGATAAAATTATTGACCCTTCTTTGGATTTTATATATATATATATATATATATATATATATATATATATAGCGGGAGCGCCAGACTAGATTCGGCAGCAATATTCAATACAGGGATGAGCAAGGTGGATTCTGGCGAGAAAAAAAATTCCTGGCACGGCCCAATGAATCAACTTTTCTAGCAGGAGATCTAGCAATCGATTCAATATAATCGTTCCACTTTATGTCAGTGGAAAACGGGAGACGAGGAATGTGCAAGGGGTTGCTCTTCTCGAGGTTAGCATGCTGGCGGAAGCAAAACTGGTTATCTCTGACGATCAATTACGACTGAGTAGTGAGTTCGATCCTCAATGAGTGCTCTACACTTTTGTCCTTGTGCCACACGTAAACTACGCTTAGAAAATTATCTGTGGTCCCTTCGTCGTGGTGTAATGGTTAGCAAGCGTATCTTGCTAAACCAATTACAACTGAATATTGAGTTCGATCCTCACTGGGTGCTCTATACTTTCGGCCTTGTACCGCATCTAATCTACGCTTAGGAAACCACCGTAATCAAAACTGACATTATGTTTAATATACAATTTACTATTATGATTAATATTTGATACTGAATTAAGTGCCTTAACAAAGGAGGAGATTATCTTGAAGATAAATATTTATTGAGCAAAGTAAATGTTTTGTTTATTCAGTCAGTCACTTATGTGCCATACGTGATACACGCTGAAGCGACCATGTATCTTTCAATACATGACTGACGAGGCAGATTTCTTTCTGCGGTAGACCAGTTGCTAGTCCCAAGGGTATTAGCACGTTATGTAATGGATTCGACTGGAATTCGAACTCGGCTCTCTGATTCCTCAATCCGAGCCGCTATCCATTACTCCACCGTCTTTTGTTCATTAGGCTACGGAATTATTATTATTATTCGTACATCAATAAATCTGTAGCCTGACAGGTATTTATTAGCTGAGTTTTGATCTAAAATTTTCACTGTATAATGTTCATTCTATGTAATTAATATTCAATATTGAATATAGAAAGGATACTATGTTCAAAATAGTCATTAGTTGTGTATAATGAAATACATCACATCCATCTATTTATTATTAGGCTACGGACTTCTATACACGCCCATAGCTAGTTCATAATACCTACTATGTATGACTAGTTAATAAACGTTAATATTTCAGAATCTCATTATTTTTTAATATCTCGTACTGCTTCAGTCGCCATTTTCATTTCTTCACTGTAAATATCGTTCTATTTAGTGCATTTCGAACGATAACTTTCACTCGACAGAGAAAGTAAAACAATTTATCGTCTTTAAATAGTCTTAATCAAAGAGATACCCACCCACCAATTCCCTCCCCTCTCCCTCTCCCGAAACACATATTCATCCACCCACACGCAAATTTGACTATCCTCGAAATTTATCTTTGCAGGCATTTTCTTCGAACGGCGAATACATATATCGTGTACTTGATTCCGACCAGACGTATCTGTTGGGAAGCCATAGCTCGCTGAGTTATTACGATGTCAAAGACGTGAACAGTCTTTACAAATGTCGTGGTATGGCAAGCCTTTTCCTCAATTTCAATGGGCATTTTCCTTTAGTTTTCTGGGACTTGTTTATTATTATTTGATAATAAGCCTTTGTCTCCGATCAGTCAAGTTTTGTTCGAGTGCATACAAAAACCGAATTCAAACAAAATACTTGAAAAGTATAGATATAGGTTCGTGAGATTTCGCCCAGTCATAATTCCTGACATTTCACTCATTGTCATTTTTTACGACAATTAAACCGGCGGGAGGTGGGAGAACGAGAGAGAGAAAGAGAAAGGGGGAGAGAGAGGGAGAGAGGGGGAGAGAGAGCGAGACAGAGAGAAAAAGAGAGCGAGAGATAGAGTGAGAGAGAGGGGGAGAGAGTGAGAGAGAGCGAGATAGAGGGAGAGAGTGAGAGCGAGAGAGAGTGAGAGAAAGAGGAAGAGTGAGAGAGTGAGAGAGAGACGGAGATTGAGAGAGAGGGAGAGGGATAGAGAGAGGGAGAGAGCGAGACAGGGCGCGAGAGAGAACGAGAAAGGGATAGAGAGAGGGGGAGAAAGCGAGATAGAGGGGGAGAAGAGCGAGACAGAGAGAAAGAGAGAGCGAGAGATAGAGTCAGAGAGAGGGAGAGAGAGAACGAGAGATAGACGGAGATTGAGAGAGTGGGAGAGGGAGAGAGAGAGGGAGAGAGAGAGGGAGGGAGATATGAACATAGAAAGTTTTTGTTTTCAATCTATTTCATTATTAGATTATAATTATACATTTCCAGAATGTTTCTTTCTTAAATTATTCTTTTTAGTCATTTCACCTTAAGTAAGGCAATACAGCAATGGGTTACCGACTGTAAGAAAAGATGAGGAAAAAAAACAATATTAATGACAGAGAACAATTAAAGAGAAGGAATTAAGAAGACATAGCATATAAATTTCTGAAGATGAAAATTCACTGAATATATATACATATATATATATATATATATATAGAGAGAGAACTCGTTAGGTAAATAATCCAATGTTCTTTAGTATTTTTGTTATTATTTTTAAAAAAATAGTGCTCGATACAAAAGTAGAGCATAAATATAATTATTTATTTATTATTGGAATCATATTTTTAAATAAATAATTATATATATATATATATATATATATATATATATATATATATATATTATGTTAATGTCTATACTCGACTGGTGTAAAAAAAAAAAAACGGATAGTACAATTTGCAAATAAAATATATTAAAACAAATTTGTATCTGGAAAACTAAAAACATCCGAGTAGGCCGAAAAAAATCGCCCAGTTTCGTAATTTCTAGTCCAAAGAAAATAAAAACAGTCGAATAAAATAAGTAAAAATCTAAAGTGAACACTAAGTAGTGCAGATTATAAAAATCTTACTAACACAGTAACTACCTACCTAGGTTTCGCCTAAATGGATCTTCAGGGTAATATGAAGATCCATTTAGGTAAAATATATATATATATATATATATATATATATATATATATATAGGAGAGAGAGAGAGAGAGAGAGAGAGAGAGAGAGAGAGAGAAAGCGATGTCAAAGATATTATAAAGCCAAAAGTGCTGTCACTCAGTGGGATACTGGAAGAAAAGGCATTTAAGGCAATCCGTCTTTGCAATAAAGTGCTCGATATCAAAGAGAGAGCATAAACAGAATTAATACAAGGAAAAGTTTTCTCACTTACCTGATTAATGATACCATCAGCATCTCGACTCCATAGTTTCGTAGACAGACCCATCGCCAGAGTGTATCAGCAACATATATATATATATATATATATATATATATATATGTGTGTGTGTGTGTGTGTGTGTGTGTGTGTGTGTGTGTGTGTGTGTGTGGGTGTGTAATATAATATGAAAGGCTCAAACACTAATATTCCATGGTTATAAATTATTACATTGGAATTGTAATTACGATCCAATTCATCAAATTCTTGGAAATTTATGTAGGTATATATATATATATATATATATATATATATATATATATATATATATATATATATATTGACCACTAATATTATCTATATGTTATTATTATTATTATTATTATTATTATAAGAGATTATATTAAAAACGTTTTGAAGTCGCTATACAAAAGGTTTCATGTTTTAATACTATTATTATACTTCTTCAGGCTATGCTAAGTAACTGGTGATTAAATGATTTTTAAGGAATTTTAAAATCAAAGTGTTACCTCATTTCCATAAGTTAAAGCGGGGGGCGGGGGGGGGGTAAGGTCACAATTTCTATGTACTGCCGTTCAGTTACTATTATTAATAACTTTTATAGATGTTCACATTTTTAATTTTATCTATAGGCCCCTTTAAGAAGCTTTTTAAATCTAAAAAAAAAAAAAAAAATTTTTATTTTTTTCTGTTAACTTTACATCTAATTAACCTACCCATCTCTTCAATGCCCTTTTAAAAGATTGAACATATATTTGTTTACACTCATCTGTACATTTTTTTTGCAATCGTCAATGATGGCCTATTTTACAGTTTAACCTTGAAAATGAAAAAAATAACTCACCCACCTCCACCCTCTGAGATTACTTTTCTATTTAGCGTAGATCTGACATTTGATTGGTTAAGCAAGACATACCCACAAGTATATTTGTAATTCTGACCTTATTTCCTCTACCTTTAACTTTCGGAAAAGAGGTAACACTTTGTTTTTAAATTTCCTTAAAAATCATTGAATCACCAGTTACTTATCATCGCCTGAAGAAGTACAATCATAGTATTGAAACATGAAATATTATATGGCTGATATTACCATTATAATAACATTTATGGTAGAAAGTGAAATTTGATGTGAATCACGCACGACTTCAAAACGCGAGTGCCACTCAAAATCCTGTTTTCGTCTTGAAGAATGTTCGATGAAAGCTTTGAGGGTTTCCATAGCATATTTGCCAAACATCAAAAGTTAATCAAAGAAACGTATGTCCGAATAAAACTAATTTTTTAATCAGCTATTAGCGTTAATTCGGTTTTGACGACTGCTGTCAGTTAGCTTTCATAGCCCAATCAGTAAGGTAGCTGCCGCGGATAGAAAGCTGGTTTGAGTCAATACGGAATTTCTTTATTAACGATCCATGTTGCTTACTAATGATCGAAGAATTTTAACACCTGTCAACACGGTTTTTGCCGCCAAGAAAAGAAACATATTTTTTAGCTAAATCGATTGTGCTGTTTCCGAAAATGACCTTAGCTTTTCATGGTTAGCTGCCGTTTTTGCTGTACTAAAATTGCACATTTTTGGAAAAAAACGATAAATTTCAGATTGTGACTGATCGCAAAATTTAGTTAATAAAGGTCGTAGAAACTCATCAATTTTCAGGCAGCCACCTGAAATAAACTATTTTTTATAAGAAAAAGTGTTTTTGAGTGAAAAAAATTTACAAGTACCGAATTTTTCTAATTTATCGACAAAATTAAAATTAACTGATGCACTTTATCAGTAACACACTTTAGTAAACCTGATAATTAAAGTGACATAAAAAAAATAAAAATAAAAATAAAACCCTAAAATATTCTCTTTGATATTCATAAATTTATTCATCACTTTTATCCATTCATGACGGAAGGAAACCAAGCATATTGAGAGCATTTTGTTTTAACAGTTGGAAAGAGACTCCAACTGAAGACATCAAAATTGAATGCACCTATTCCACCATACATGATAGTGCTGGTGTATCAAAAGGGACTTAAATAATATTGAACTGTCATGTTCAATATTATCAAGAAAGAGAAACATTTTTTTTTACCATAGTCCTTATGTTCATGAAGGTTTTATTTCTGCTGTTAGTTTATTAAATGATTTGATGAAAATAATTGTTGGTCTTGGTATATTCAATCCTGCTATTTTTCAAGACTTAGGGTTTGTTTGTTATTGCAAAAATAGTATTCCCAATATTCCCAGACCAATATTCCCAGACCAATATTCCCAGACCAATATTCCCAGACCAATATTTGCTAATTTAAATTCGAATTGAGAGGTTTCTACAATTTTATTTTGAGAAATATTGCCATCGGTCAATATCATATATATAGAAAACAAATGAAAAAAAAAAAAGTTTGTTTTTTCCAAAAATGAGACATTTCTGTACATCAAAAACGGTAGCTAACCAAGAAAAAGTAAATTCATTTTCAGATTTAGCGCACTGAAATTAGCTAAAAAGATGTTTGGTATGTCGACAAGATTTTAAATTATTTTTTGTTGACCAGTGTAATCAAGGAGCTACAATAAAAAGTAACTGAAATTAAGAGGAAACAAATACTAGCATTATTTACATTTTTCGGACTGGTATCCTCATCTTCATTGCCATATTCACAACGTTTCGGTCGCTGTACGCTCCGGTCTTCTTCCGGATGTCTCAAGGACACATGGCGCAATGAATAAAGACGTTGGTTAAATCCAGTAACTAGACCCAAAGAGTTGTGAGGCCACAGCAGTGGTGAATCAAAAAACTTGGAGAGTTGAGTTACAGGGAAATAACTGAGACATCCGGAAGAGGCACGACACGTGGAACTAGAACAATCTACCCCGGTGGACGAAATAAAGGGTTCGATTCGAAATTCCAATCATCTGAAGAAGGCCGGAACGTACAACGGCCGAAACGTTGTGAATAGGACAATGAAGATGAGAATAACCGGCTGAATAATGTAAATAATATAAATAATCATAATGCCTCACGTCAGAGATATAGACAGATAGGAAATACTTGATAAAAATCGGCTTTTCATTTTAATAATTTCGGATAATATTGTGCCAGTTATGTGTTTATTTCATTCATTTACTGTTGGTATTTGGGTCCGGATCAGATTAAGGATTCCTGAATTTACAGGGTTCGCCATTATTTAAAAAAAAGAAGAAGCAAAAAACAAGTGTTAAAAAATAAACGAAAAGCGTTAGGAAGCCAAATAAAATTATCTGAGTTGGGTGTCTGGACACAGCAGACGACAGAAAATTTAAAAATTGGTATTCTTACATCTTCAGCGTTTTCATTTGATGCTTAATTATAACAAAAAATTACGTTTATATCTCCAATTCCACTACATGTTCCCTCAGAAATAACGTTTCTTTAAACTGGGGAAATCCTTTCAGAGGATGAAACGCGTTTCATAGAATTTGTTCTATTTTGCCATTCACTTATCTAATCGTAGAAGAAAAATAATACCTGACCTCATGGAAATTGACGTTATATAAGCTTTTAAAATCCATTCGTTTTATGTACCTTTTTGCAAGTCATTCCCTTAGGTGAACAGTTACATTAATTTTTCTTTTGTTTTGTTTGTTGTTTTTTTTTTTTCAATATTGATCGTATATTTTTATCCGGAGACTTTTAAATAATCGTACTTTTTTAAATAAGACTTTTATTTTTATCCGGAGACTTTTAAATAATCGTACTTTTTTTTTTCTAATATAGAGACCCAGTGTCCAAGTTTTCGAAATAAATGCTACCATGATGGTTTTGTTTTGAAGTTAGGTGGTAAATGCAAGTGTTTTTGTCCACGTGGCCTGAGTTCGAGAAGAAGATGTGCAACCATTTACAAACCAGGTGTGTTATGCATATATATATAGTTTTTATTTGCATAATTTTGATCTTTTATCTTATTTTTCTTATCTTAGGTCATTCTGAAAATAATGGCCTATTTTAGAATAAACCATTTAATCATGTT